GATCGTGATGTCTGCCTACTTGGTTTTCTGAACACATTGAACCCAAATTTATTATGGTTATGTGTGATGATCAGGTCTAAGAAATCAATCTGTTTCTCTATCTCTGTTTCGAATGTAAACTGTATGTTATTTATATTGATATTATCCATAAATGTCACAAATTGGTTCAGCTATCCTGTAGTACCTCTGAAACAGGCGAGAATATCGTCTACATATCTGCACCAAAAATGAATATGTTTTTAACCCAGGTCGGAATTCACTATAGTGGTCTCCAAGCTGTTCATAAATATGTCTGCTAGAAGTGTGTTAAGAGGTGAGGCCATTGGTAAACCTGAATCCTATTTATAAAATATGTTATTGGACTGTAAGTAATTCTGCTTTAGGCATACATCGAAAGCTGCCGAAATTTCAAAAGAAGTGACATGGTTAAGTATTATAAACCTGCCTATACCGGTTGTGGCAACTTATAACAGAATCAGCGTTTTGAATCCATATAACTTTTCACTATTAGAAAACAAAGTATAGGCAATGAATTGTTGAACGTTTAGCAGGAAATATTAGTAGTTTTAAACAGTAAAATTGAATCCCTCTTCAACCAATCCTTTCATAAACAATTTTCGAATCAGTGAACTATTTGGATATCATCATTACAATGCTGTGAAGTTTCCTCAACATAAAATAGTAATATCCCACCAAAACCGTTAGTCCGCCCCTAAAGCTGGCAGTATCTCTGGCAAAATGTGGCCTCAATAAAACTCGCATATTCCTATCGGGCATTATTTCTTACAGGTTTGTTAATAATAAATCAAATAATCGGATACAGTGTATTGACCCTTCGATACACAACCGGCAACCATCGATCCGTAACGTTAGAACATGCCTATTACGCCGAAATTAATTCCAAAAACCACATCGCATAAAACCCCCCGCTCAATAAAAACTGAATAATAAAAAATAACTATCCGAGTGGCGGGTTTTCGAAGAAAAGTGAGTAGGCGGTGGTCAGTTTTCCACCGACCGTCAGTTTTCCATTAACGGCCGAGCAGAGCGGTAGTGGCGATACAGAATGGGGTGTGCCAGCAGCTCTCCTCTGGTGGAAGGCGGGAAAAATTTGGTAGAAGGCGCGAAGGAGACCGTTTCCGAGGGCATTTCGAAGGGGGAGAAGGCTTTGAAAGGTGAGGAATACAGTGACATGTAACTTTTCTGCATGTGCTCTTCTGCTTTTTCCCACTGATACAAATTCGAATGGTTCGCATTTCTGAGCAATACTGCTCGTAGGTGATATGTCTCTCCCTACTTTGAATCAATTGAAATAATTTTCAAAATCTTTGTCAATCTCATTTATATC